GTTCCAATATCTGACTCGGGTCAACTTTCTAAACCAGTGGTTCTCAACCTGTGGGTTGGGACCCCATTTGGGGTCGAACGACCATTTCACGGGGGTCGCCAAACAACGCAGTCCGCCATTTTTTCCCCCTTTTCCTTAGCTGTGCTCCTCCCTTTTATTCTATTGGCTTTGGAAAGCCAATAGAATAGACTCTCTTGAATAGAGCCTAATTCTATTGGCTTTCCAAAGCCAGTAGGAATTGTCCAGGCTGTCTCTGCCCTGCTGAGCCCGCCAAAAGTCCCAGTCTGCAAACGGTGCTGCACCGGTTGAGTAGTCCTCGATTTACAACTGGTTGAGTAGCCCACGACTTACGACCAGATGGGGGTCGCAGCATTAAAAAGGTTGAGAACCACTGTTCTAAATGGAACTGATGCCATCTGCTGCCTGCAGACCTAGGATCGCGGCATGTGCGAATAGAGTTTTATGGGCAAAGCACTCCTGGGTACCTCACATTCCTATGGAAACAGCACTCAACATATTCACAACTTTTTTTTAAAACTTAGTGTTATTTTCTTACTGCTTTCCCCGCATGGCTCTAATTTTGTCTCCAACTTACATCCCACCCACCTGTCGCAGTGGACATGCACAACCACTAGCCACTTAAGCTGTGCACACACATTTAGACATGGCTCCAATCCTACTTAGTTTCAAAGGATGAACTAAGTTAGTTGGGAGGCAACCCAGCCGATTTTGGAAACTGTAGTGATGCATTTCATCCCTGATATTCTAAGGCTTTATACCAAAGCCAAATAAAAGTTTCAAGAATATATATATATATTTCCTACTCTCCTCTACATGCATACATACATACATACATATGTACGTATGTACCTACATACATATGTATGTAGAGGAGAGAAGGAATGAAATGAATTGGTCGATTATTATCTCTTTTGGTAAAAGATACACTCCCTAGCAACTGTACAAAAGAGAGGAAAAAAAATGACATTAAATACACCAAAAAGGATACTGAATGTGGGGTGGGTGGAAGGAAAATAAATAAAAAATACTTGCAATGGTCCCCCCGGGCATCTTTAGTAATAAATTAAATATTTAACGTCACCCATTTTAAAAAGACAGCACATAACTCATAATAAAAAGAACGTTAAAAATCTTTTTTTTAAAAAAAAAAAGAGAGAGAGAGAAAGAGAGAGAACCCAATACTGTTAAATAGGAAAAAAAGTGCACAAAGTCAATTTTATACATTGCATCTAGAGAAAGTACATCTTAAATACATAAATCACCGTGTCAGAAGAGCGGAGAGCAATTCCTCACTTAGGATGGAATGGAGAGCCCGGAAGAGGCCATTCATAATGGGTCTCTCCCTTTTGCTCACGCCGTTTCGGTCCTCGGTTGCCTTTCCTCAAAAAAGGCCCTGTCTGCCCACCTCAAACTGAAGAAACGTGTTCCAGCCGAGTTCAGAGAGAAAGACAACAGGCCCAATCACAGCACAGTTTCATACACTGTAGACGTTTCCCCAAAAAGGGCGCTTCTGGAGAATCTCAAACTGGTTTCAACCATTTCCTGTACATGGGCACAATCACTCCTAACGAGAGTTTGCCAGAGGAACTGAGTTAGACCAGAATTGGACTCAGTGAAAGATCACAAGGACCTGCCTTCTTCAAGAACCTTGGGAATTGCCATTGGGTGAGATTGGGCGAGAAGGAACATCTGGGGATGTAGAAGTTTCAAACAGGGATGACCGCAAGATTGGAAGAATTGGTTTTGGACAGGGAGAAAATGAAATGATGGAGAAAAGTAAAAACAGCATTAGTAGAAACAGATGTCCTGGTAACTGATGGGCAATCGTTCCCTCTTGGTTGGTTGGCTGGCTGGCCTAAAATGCCAAGGACATCTCTCATGATTGGTCATCTCTCATTTGTGGTCCTTTCCTTTAATAATACCATGCAATAGCTGTTAATCCTGAGGCATTATCACATTTGTTTGGAAGCATAGGGGAAACGGCTGCTTTTTTTTCACCCAGAATGGTACCTCTGGTTAAAAAAAATCCCTTGTCTTCCTCCAAATTTCCTGAGCAGAGGACACAACAGTAGTTGAGAAACAGTAAAATTCTCCTTCTACTTGAAAAGAAGGCATTATCAGGATTAAGTAAGATGGGCTTGCTGGTCTGGCCATCATAATTTGCAACAATGTCCACTTCTGTTTCTTGCTCACAACACTTTCAGGATGTAATGGTTTCCGATTTTGCTCGAACTGTGTGTTCCGCACAGCATCTCACCATGCCCAAAATGCAAGTTGTCAATTTCATCATTTTTGTTTCTAAAAGTGGGTCTAATGTCCCACGAGACTTTTTTTGGAGGGGGATCTCCAAAGGCACTGAGACAGCCTAATCCAGCAGATGAGAAGCACATCCCTTTAAAAAAATTACATTTAAGGGATAACTGGGTGGAGTAAAGAATGCATCTGAATACTTCCTCTCGGTTCTGTGTCTTCAGCTGGAATGGAGCAGAATCTAACCAGAGGAGGAGGAGATCTCAGATGGAATCAGGGAATAACAAGAATCGAGGGAGGAAATCAATAGCAGGCGATGGGAGAAATCAAGAATTCATGAGCAAAGCATCCAAATCAACAGAAAGCTTGAAGAAACCTGGATGGAAGACTGAATTAACACGTATTTGTAAAGAATGTTTCTATTTTATCACAGGATTGATAAAATCTTGATGATGGTCAAAAGCATAATCCACTCAAAAAATAAAACCACTGGAAAAAGCACAGTCCTTAGAAGCAATGAACCTTCCTGCATACTCCAGGCCGACCATTCACAAGCTTAGCCTAACCAGACCTCACAGGATGGTTATGATGATGTTGAAAAAAAGAAAGAAAGAAAGAAAGAAAGAAAGAAAGAAAGAAAGAAAGAAAGAAAGAAAGAAAGAAAAGAAAGGCCATCTCCTAACACCTCCTGAGCAGAAAAATGAAATGCAAATGACATCTGGCTTCCTACTTTTGCAAAAATATACCCAGGGTAAGTTGTACATTAAGGAGAAGGCATAGGGGCTGGACACCATGCATGTATGGCTATTCCAACATGCCAGCCGCTCTACATTTGACACTAGTTATCTGGAGAAGGGGTGTAAATGTGAATTGGAAGCCCATTACTGCAGAGGTAATGGAGTTGAGAGGACAGATGGGAAAAAGAACACCTATCTCTTTGGACCCGTTGTGTCAACCACACAAGATGACCTCATCGTGGAGAGAGAGAGAGAGAGAGAGAGCTAGGCTGATGACTTACATAATCCAGGTTGTTCATGATCAGATAAAGTCATGTGAAGGAGGCCATGGCCTTTACACAAATATGACGTTGCAAGGAGACTTAGGAGACCTGGATGCTCAAGTGCCCTTGAGTTGGCCAAGGGATGATGGCTGCAGATGGAAGGAAACAATCGAGAGAGAAAAATGTAGCTTGGAGCCAGCATGCGTTGACAAGCAACATGAAGGCAAGCCGATTCAAGAAGTTGGATTCCAGCCAAACAAAACTTGTGTCCAGTAGATTCTCTGTTCTTCAAGGGATCTAATCCCCAAGCCTTAGTCTCCCGTTTGAATCGACTCAACATTCTGGAACATCCCAATTTGCCAACTGTGAAACAAAAGTCTCACTTTCATACGGCTTTCTAACTGCTCCTATTCTACTTTTCTTCCAGACCCCATTGCTCCTAGGGGTGAGGAGCAAGAACAGAGACCTTCCGTGCCCTAAAAGCTGCCCAGGAAAAAAATATATATCCCACTCCCCCCCCCCAATGTGCCAGCCTTTTCCTACCTCCCTGGTTCTGTCACCACCATCACCACCACCAGACTCAGCTGGAAATCTGAAGGAAGAATTCTGAGAAAGCGCCTGGACTTAACCCTTCTTCAAAGCCATGACAGACTTCACCTGTTGGCTGCAAAAGCCACAGTTGCTGTAAGACTCTTGAGTCTTAGACCGTGGTTCTCAAGGCATGCCCACCTAACTTCCCAAACTTCCCAAATCAAATCAGCCTCCCTCTATGGCTCAGCACAAGATTGAAAAGGAGAAGGCCATGATTTGATGCTGCAGAATGAGGTGAAGAAGAGAATGGCCTTAGACACCCCAAGCTGTCCCAAGGAGGCACTGCAGAGGTTTCCCCTACTCTGAGAAACATCTTTTTCCATCCTTCTTCTTCCTCCCCTCCAAAATATCACCGAACCAGTGTCTGCTTTGGAGTTTACACACACCCTCAAGAGAAACTGCCTACTTTCTAACTCTAAAGTAAAATCCGTCTTCTGAACAAGACCACCTAAAAACCCAGAGTGGGTTTCGAGAATAACTGTTTCCTGTTCTACAAAAAAACAAAAAAAAACATAATAAAATAAATAGTGCCCACCCCCACCCCCCAATAACCTGAATTCTGGAATTCTGTGAGCCCTCTGCAATCATGCATTGGTGAGAAGGGGAATCACAGCCTTAATAAGAGTGCACATGCAAAGAAGAAGAAGAAGAAGAAGAAGAAGAAGAAGAAGAAGAAGAAGAAGAAGAAGAAGAAGAAGAAGAAGAAGAAGAAGAAGAAGAAGAAGAAGAAGAAGAAGAAGAAGAAGAAGAAGAAGAAGAAGAAGAAGAAGCAGCAGCAGCAGCAGAAGAAGAAGAAGAAGAAGAAGAAGAAGAAGAAGAAGAAGGAGAAGAAGAAGGAGAAGGAGAAGGAGAAGGAGAAGGAGAAGGAGAAGAAGAACCCCAACTATTTCTATCCCCAGTACCCAAAAGATTTGATCAGGGAATTTGGTTACTTAGGGATATCAACCACCCGCCCCTACCCAGGTTTGTTCTAGCTATCTAGCTAAACGTTGCTTCAAGAAGTGAGAAGAGAGAGAGGTTAAGCTGCTCCCTGGCTGTGGCTGTGTTTTCTTTTTTTTAAAAAAGGGGGGAGGAAAGAAAAAAAAAGGGGGGGGAGGAAACCCATCGCCAGCGATGAGTTCATTCTTCCAAGCCTCACCACTTTGGGAAGTTGAGGGTGAAGACAGGTGCAAGAGTTGAAGGACGAAGACAGAGGTATTCTTTCAAGGATAGGCGGCCATATTAGTTCCCTGGCTGGAGGCGCTTAAGTGTGTAGGATAAAATACAGTTTACAAAAGACAAGTGCTGAGGCAGAGGTCTGCATTCCCTCCTCCATATCCACGAATGATGACCACCGCATTTTTCCTCCAATACAGGAAGGACATTTCAATCAGAATAGAGCTGGAAGGGACCTTCCAGTCCAGCAATCCGAGGACGGAGAAAACCAGCATATGAGGAAGAGAAAGATGTCCCAGACGTGCTAATTCTCTACGTGCAGAGATTTTGATCTTTTAGCACGGAGGTGTGTTTTATGATGAGATAGTCACTGGAAACAAGTCGATTGCCTCTAGCAGAAGTAGTACGAAATCAGGTGACCCTTCAGTTGCCTGACTGGTTTATTCCTCTCTCTGTCTTTCATCAGTGAAGTTCTTCAGGAGGATTGCTCTGAGGACTGGGCCAAGAGGCACCTCCTAAAAGCCCAGATCAAGTGTCTCAGAAGTTGCCTCACCTCAAAACTCCCATTCTGAATTTTCCAGGAGGAGGAGGAGGAACATCTGGGGCGATGGCTTCCCTGCTGCTAGCCAACTGGCCAACCATTCCTGCACGGATGCAGAACTCTGTTGTTCTGGGTGCAAAGGCAAGCCTGTCCCGCACGCCCCAGCCCACCTAGCCTGAATTAAAACATCTGTCTTCACCCTGCAGGGATTGCGTCCTCATCTTGGAAGTGGCTGAGTTATGGCTTTAACCAGCCAAGCTAACCTCCTGGTTAATTTCCCACGATAAATCAGTCATCGCCAGAGGAAGCGTTTGGCTTGCAGGAACCTGACAGCCTGGGAGGGAGGGAGGTTCTCCACCCCCCCAACCCCAGTGCCTCTTGATCCGTGAATTGCAGCATGTGCCCAGAAGACACCAAACTGGCAGCCCGGCTGAACTTCACCCCTGCCTGTTCCACGCTCAAAACGGGGCTATCTCGTTCCTGGCCACGTGTTCCTGTGTATGTGTGCATGCTTGTCGTGTGTCTCGTGTGTTCTGGTTCTCCCTCCCGTCGATTTGGATTTCCTGCCGCAATGCCATCGGCATGGCCGAGGGTGTGCACAAGACAAAGAAGAGAGACAGATACAGGGAGAGAGAGAGAGAGAGAGATTAAGAAGAAGCCGCCATCAGCTGCACGTTTGGGATCACTTTCCTTAAAACATTTCGCCTCCAAACCCTGCTTTTAGGCCTGGAGAGACCATTCAGACAGTCAGTTGCTTTTTTTGGTGGTGGTGGTGGGGGAACCGAAGGGCAGATTTAAGCTCAGATGCACCCACTCCTCCTGAACCAAAATGCAGCAATAAATAAATAAATAAATCTGATCTCGGTTGGTTTTTAAGGGTCCTCTCTCGCTCTCCTCCTCTCGCTGTGCAGCTTTCAGCCCATCCACTCTTTCGTGTTCTGAATGGAAACTTTCGGTCAGCAAATTCCCCTACCCCAAAACACACGTCTAGAGTTTGTTTGTTTCCTTTTTGTTTGTTTGTTTGTTTTTCCTTGGGCTCAGTTCAGCTTCCTTAAATTTTGACCCAAAACACGGAGGTTGCCGAAGTTCTCACTAACACTCATCTATGTTAAGGCTGATGAACTCCTGTATACATTTTCGGTACTGAAGCTCTGTAGGGCTATTGTTGGTATATTGACCTGGGTGTCCGAAAGGGCCCTCGGCTTCACGCATCTCTTCATTCATCCGAGCCAGACGCAGCCTGCAGGACGAGAACCGGGGAGACATGTTAGCTGGCCAAGGGAGAAAACGGCACTTGGATCAAACAGGGATCGTACAGGCAGTTGGGAGTTAAACCCTTCGGCACTAAGGAAGCAGCAGAGTTGCTGAAGACGGTGGTCTGTCAGGGCTAAGCCTCGATTCTTGTTTTTTTTTTGGGCCAATAACTGGCCAACTCTATGCCTGGGTGTTCGAGTTTCCAAGTCAGCCACTTCCAGCCCCGACATGGAGGTCATCTCTGACACAGTAAGGACCCACTTACAAGGTCACGATGTCCGCATTAGCGGCCTGGACAGCGATGCTGAGGGGGTCCTGCCCATCCTCGTCAGCTGCGTGCTGGTTGGCTCCTCTCTTTAGGAATAAGCAGACCTGGCTGCCAAATGTTGAAAGAGGAGAGAGAGAAACCAGAGAGAGAGAGAGAACGAGGTTAGCCAAGAATATGCTGTGATGGAGAAGGACAGTTTGAAGAGGCGGACGACACAACGTTAAGAAGCATTAATGTATCACACTAGACTTTCATAAGAAGCTACTTTACACTGGACCATTTTCTCTGTTTAGACTTTCCACTTGGAAAATGACCACCATCTGTCTCAGATCCATCAGGAGTTGCTTCTAACTAACCCAGGTCACTAGCTTTGGTCTCAATCCCATTTACCCAAGTCCTATGGGTGGCACGTGCCTGGGTCTCTCTCCATTGCCTTTAAAACCAGCTAGCTGGGATACGCCATCTCTTTGTCCGCGGGAGCACAGAGCAGTGGTGTCTCCGGGGCAAAGTCACAGCTGCAAACAGCAGTTGACTCCCCCAGAATTTTGAACTACCACCTTCACAGCAAGTGACTTACCCGGTGTGGCCCAAATATGTGGCATGATGCAAAGGTGCCCGCCCTCGGATATCTCTTTGGTTAACGTCTGCCCCGTTCTGGAGCAAAAATTCACAGGCTATTAGTGAGCCCTGAAAGAAGCAGAGAAAGAAAAGTTAGCTTTGGAGTCTTGGACTTCTCTTAAGGTAGTCCTCGCCTTGCGACGTTTAGTGACCGTTCAGAGTGAAACAGCAGGGGTTCTTCTCCCTCCGAGTAGATTTTCTGGCCTACACTTAGCAGGAAGCGGTGAAATCGAGGTGGTGCTGATGAAGCCCACCCAGGGCACACAGAACCGGCTTTTAACCCTGATGGAGCCACCTCAAAACTGGCACGGCGACACGTGGATCTTGCTCACCCCCATGACAGCTTGGATCAGCGGGGTTTTGCTCTCGTCTTCTTCGTTCACCCAGTTGACGCTGGCACCGTGGGCCAGGGCCTCCGCCATCACGGGCAGGTTCCTGGCCCTTGACGCCTTGTAAACAAGTAAACCAGGATGGAGCGCCCGCAGGTCTTCCAAATCGGAGGCCTCCTGCTCAATTTCGACGTCCCCGCTGGATTCTTCTGATGCTTCCCCCTCTGCAGGAAGGGAGGAAGAGAAGGGAATGAAATGCCGGAATCCAAAGACCTCTGGAGGCGTCGATACCGAAGCTTGCGTCTCCCAGCAAGATAAAAAGGACTTTGCCACGTGAGGTATTTAGGTAGCCACTGGGACTAACAGCAATTGATCTCATCCCTCTTCTCTGATCTCAAGATGGTGGCCACTCCTGTGGGATGCTGTAGTGGAATTCTACGGCTGTGCTCTGGGCAAAGGTAGAGATTCCTGAGGCCCACCTGCCTCTGTTGGGGAAGATCTCACCTTCTTCTGTGACGCTATCAACCACCGAGCCAAACACCAAGACGTCTGTGCTGCCATCAGTGCTCCCACCCAGTCCACTGTCGCTGCTTAGACCTAAGGGATCAAAGGAGGAACCAAGTAAACTTGAATATATGGGCACCATAAACTGCTGGTCTTTTCCTGTGTTGGTTGGTCAAGATTCCTTCTCTTCTGGTTACTCATCTAGGATGGAATTCCACCACATCTGCCCTAAAGGATCTCTACTCCTTTCCTGAAGTATTTTCCTCTTCCCCCCCCCCAATTCCCCCAGGCCCACATTTCCCTTGAAATCCCTTGCCACTAGCGTGATTTTGTTCGTGGAAGGATTTCCAGATTGTGTTTTATTTATTTATTTATGAGACTTATATACCGCTTTAAGTGCAAGCACTCTCTAAGCGGTGTACACCAGTAAGCAATGTATATCTATATTTACATTGCCCCCAACCATCTGGGTCCTCATTTTACCTACCCCGGAAGGATGGAAGGCTGAGTCCACCTTGAGCCGGTGAGATTTGAACCGCTGACCTGCTGAACACAGTCAGCTAAAGTGGCCTGCAGTACTGCACTCTAACTGCTGCGCCACCTCGGCTCTTAAAAGGTGGGCGTCCGGGAGCTTTACTAAAAGGAACCAGGCAGATGACCATCCCTAAACAATGGTCCTTAGAAGAGAGAAGGAACTGGGGAAACCCAGAAAGCAGAGAGATACAACTATAAGCACACAGGACAGAGCGGTGCTTGGGTTGCCCTTTTAAAATCCGTGAATGAGTGATGGGCCAGTGTTATGTCCTGAAATCCCCTCCCCTCATGGGACTTAGTAATAGGGATGGGGACCCATGAGCAAAGAGAGAAATCTGCCGCAGAAAGTTTTGTCCCACTGGGACGTCTCAGCTCTGGGTAGAAGGCAGATCAGTAAAGCTAAAAAGTCAGGAAGAGTGAACAATTAGGAGAGGAACATCCCGACTTTCAACCGGCTTCTAATGACTACAGCCCCACTTAACTTTAATCAAACTGGGTTTCTGATCCCCCTCCCTTCTCTAGGCTAGGCCGTACCCGCCCATTTTGGGTGTGGAAGCACATCTCAAAGACCAGGCTTGGCTCTCGGCCAACGCTGGATTCTCCTGAAGCTGTTCAAAGTCAGTCTTTCTGAGAAGATGGGACCTAGGGCTTCAGAGTCTTTTACTTTGACGTTGCCAGATATACAGGAAGATAGTAGATATCCCTGGTGACCAAGCCAGGATACAGCCTTACCTCCATCCAGCAGAAAGGGCGAACCGCTGCCTCCAGGGCCATTGCAGGTCTCACTCCATGGGCTGGCTCCCACAGGCTGTTGAGTTGACGCCTGGTTCCCACCTGGGGCGGCGGAGATTAAAAACATGACAATGGGCAGCCAGAGCTTAAATTTTGGCACAAAGCAAGAGAGAAAGGGAGGGAAAACCTAGCCGCAGAATTGGAGAAAGTCCAGAAAAGTCAACGTTTCTCCCTTTACTGACTCTCTCTGGTAGCTGAGCACTGAGCTACAGCTGTGTGAGGGATTACACACCCATCTGCCCCCACTTACTGCGGGGGCCTGCTCCTGTGTCAAAGTACGAGAAGAGGGAATCCAGCTCGTCGGGACAGAAGAGGGAATCTCGGCGGAACTTCCTTTCCAAAGTGGCAGCTGTTTGGAAAAGAACGTTATTGCCATTTTTCTAATGCAGAGACCCCCAACACGTACAAATAGCTCTGTTTATAAAAAAATGGCAAAGCTGAGATTTTCTAGCTGTGGTTTATTGGACAAATCACAAGAAGAGCCGAGGTGGCGCAGCAGTTAGAGTGCAGTACGGCAGGCCACTTTAGCTGACTGTGTTCAGCAGGTCAGCGGTTCAAAGCTCACCGGCTCAAGGTTGACTCAGCCTTCCATCCTTCCGGGGTAGGTAAAATGAGGACCCAGATTGTTGGGGGCAATGTAAAATATATATATACATTGCTTACTGGTGTACACCGCTTAGAGAGTGCTTGCACTTAAAGCGGTATATAAGTCTCATAAATAAATAAATAAATGCTAGGCTAGCTCCCTGATAATGGACATTGGCTCAACAAGCCCAATCCAAACCAGCTTAGATCACAGCATGATACGTGAACCACTTCAGGAGGCTGCAGGGGAGTGACTTTGGCTAATAACAACCCTGGTTTATTCTTGGATGATTGTTCTAGGCCAGGGGTAGGGAACCTTGGCTCCTTTAAGACTTGTGGATTTCAATACCCGGAATTCTTGAACCAGCCATGCTGACTCAGGAATTCTGGGAGTTAGTCCACAAGTCATAATAGAGCCAAGGTTCTCTACCCTTGTTCTAGGCCAGTGGTTCTCAACCTTTCCAATGCCGTGACCCCATAATACAGTTCCCCATGTTGTGATGACCCCCCAACCACTTATACATCACCGGGTGCCAGGGGCGTGGCCAAAGAAAAGGGGGAAAAATGGCGGACAGCCTTGTTTGGCGACCCCCGTGAAATGGTCGTTCGACCCCAAATGGGGTCCCGACCCACAGGTGGAGAACCACTGTTCTAGGCAATCAAAAGGCTGGAGGCGAGGCTAGGAAATTTTTTTAAAAAATAACCCCGTTCAAGAAAACAAAAGCAAACTGCTTGTTTCCATACCATTGCCAAGAACACCGTGTAACTGTGTTCATATATAGCCCCCCAGAGTTGTCAAAGGATCATTACTTGCCAATACAATGTAAGGACAAATTTCCAATCTTCACTGTGTGACAATATGTTTGAAAGAACTGAAGGCAAATCCTGAAACGGGGGACGAACAAGCTCCAGTATTTAGAAACAGACAAACGCGTTTAGCCACCGTTCCAAGTTACAACAGCAGTGGGGAAAAAAAGAGACTTATAACCTGTTTTCACACTTAACGGCTGCCTGCGTTTTGAGCTCCACATATTTCAGGATGAAATAAATGTTTTTAATTCACATTTTCCCACCCTCTCTGGGGATATCAGGAAAGCAAGCCTCGCGGTCTCGACCAACCCTCCCGCCAGCTTTCCACCACACAAAATGGCTGCCGGTTTGGGCCTCCTGACGCGGATCGCCTACCTGAAGAGTGGGCAGCCGGAGACGCGTTTCCCGCCTCGTGCCGGTACTTCCTGCGAGTAGTGGGCGCTTTGGTGGTGCTGTTGCACCTCTGGCACTTTTTCACACTCCAGCGGCGGGGCTTCTGCTCGTGGTCGGCCAGGGGTTCTCGCGAAGGGAGCTTCTTCAGAAACTTCTTCTCCACGTATTTGACTTTGATCCATGCTTCTTTGTCCTGCCTGATAGGAAACCATTTCTTGCGCTGAGTTTGCCCACCCACGGGCCTAACTTATTTAATAATGACCATCGTTAGGGTTTTTCATCTCTTTTTGCATCATAGTGGTTTATGATTCCATATACCCAGGGGAACAGCGACTCCCTTAACCAGCTTACGTGTGTTGTCTGAACACCGCAAGAGCACAGGGCGTCCCCTTGCTAATTCATGGGGAAGCAGACATGGAGGAAGGAAAGCATCAGAGGCAAAGGGACCCTGAAAAAGCTGTACCTTGAGCTGCCAGCTGTTGGCTTTTTCAGCCCCATCTCCTCGCACTGAGCCTCGTAGATCTGGTTCATGGTTGCATTGCCCAGCTCACACATCAGCTTTGGAACAGCAGGTGAAAAAAACAGAACGACGTGTGAAGCAAAGTTGCTCTTGTGGCTTCTCCATTCACATACAACGCCCTGTTTGAAATCCTATCCTGGGTCTTCTCAGCGAGGATGCCCTCATTCTGGAATGGTTCCCCCCCTCCCTCCAGAGAAGCCTATGTTAGTTCCAGGATTTGGACTTGTCCTGGCTCTGCCCAGTTCAAATTCAACACGCTTAAATGCGAGAACTAGTCTTCAAGCGACAATCTTCTCAAAAACAGCAAGATTTAGAGCCGTGTTTTTCAACCCTGGGGGACTTCAGCTCCCAGAATTCTCCAGCCTCTTCAAGGCGCCAAGATTGAAAAACACTGATTTACTTTTACTTTTTTTTTCTTTTTGAAGGGAATGCAAAAATGGAATGTCAGAAACGTAAACCTTTGCCTGCTCAAGTTTTAGCATTTTTGTTCTTCCTCTGTCCATTGTTGTTTTACTCAAGATGTGATTTGGATCCTCTTTCTTCCTCTTTTGACTTACATACCTTTTTAGCTAGTTGGGGGGGGGGTGGCCTTTACCTTCAATAGTTCTGGCTCCCAAGAGTCCAGCGTGAGTGACCGCACTTTGGAGCAGTGAACTCCCAAGCTCCTGTAGGGCAAGGCGAAGAGAAAGGGTCAGCTTCCCCTGCTGCTAAGCCAAGTCAGACTGCAGCTGGCAGTTCGACTGCTGCATTTGTTCTGAAATAACTCTCTGGTTGTAGACAGGAGAAGCTGGGGATGCTTTGATCTTCTTAGCACTCAAGGAGGCATGCACGAAAGTACCTGCTGCTGTTGCCGTCCTTGGTGCCCTCTGAGCTTGGTGGCTTTCTTGCAGACGTTTTCATTACCCAACTAGTGTGAACCCTACACTCCCTTACACTGATGATGTTGCCTAACTGGGTAATGAAATGTCTGCAAGAAAACCACCAAGCTCAGGGAACACCAAGGACCCCACAGTTGTCCTTCTCCTCCATCAACATCACCAGCAGCAGCAACAACAACACTCCTCAAACCCCACTCCTTTCTAGCACTGATGATGTAAGCTAGTTGGGTAATGAAACGTCTGCAAGAGAGCCATCAAGCTCAGAGAGCACCAAGGACCCCATGGTGATCCTCCTCTTCATCTTCCTCCTCCTCCTCCCACACCCCCTCCCTTCTAGCACTGATGATGTAAGCTAGTTGGGTAATGAAACGTCTGCAAGAAAACCACCAAGCTCAGAGAGCACCAAGGACCCCATGGTGATCCTCCTCTTCCTCTTTCTCCTCCTCCCTCTCCCACACCCCCTCCCTTCTAGCACTGATGATGTAACCCAGTTGGGTAATGAAACGCCTGCAACAAAACCACCAAGCTCAGAGAGCACCAAGGACCCCATGGTGATCCTCCTCCTCCTCTTCATCTTCCTCCTCCTCCTCCTTCTCCCACACCCCCTCCCTTCTAGCACTGATGATGTAACCCAGTTGGGTAATGAAACCTCTGCAACAAAACCACCAAGCTCAGAGAGCATCAAGGACCCCATAATCCTCCTCCTCCACCACCCTGCAAACCCCACTCCCTTCTAACACGGATGTTACCTAGTTGGGTAATGAAACGTCTTCAAGAAAACCACCAAGCTCAGAGAACACCAAGGACCCCATGGTGATCCTCCTCTTCCTCTTTCTCCTCCTCCCCCTCCCACACCCCCTCCCTTCTAGCACTGATGATGTAACCCAGTTGGGTAATGAAACGTCTGCAAGAAAACCACCAAGCTCAGAGAGCACCAAGGACCCCACGGCTGAACCCGGAGCTACCAGTTATTCCCTTCTGTGGAAGATACCTGTGTATCCCTGAACATTCAATGCATAGTAAGATGCCCAAGTTGATGCTCGCCCACCGGGGATCGGCTTGCCCGCAGTCACAACACTGGTCGTTGCCAGAGATACTCTGCACCCTCTGCAGGATAGTTTCCCCTTTCCCACTTCGGTCCCGGGAATCGGAGGCGGAGTCTATACTGCTGGTTGAAGGGGAAGCTGTTCGGTCCAATTTCTGGAGTTAAAAGAAAAGCCAAAGATTGAAACAGCAAGCGACAATATCAAGCGTCCCGTCTGCTTTTTTGATTTCTCTTAATATATTTTGGTAACATTTTCAAGGATAATCTTGGAAGCTGATTGGATAAAAAACGCCTCCCGTCATTCTGAAAGGACGCCTCGTATCTGTTTTCTAATTTCCGTGAAGATCTTACGAGTATGTCTTATGACAAATTTGTGAGTGCGAATCCTGCACCTGTCCTACAGCCTTTTCTGGTTGCCGGTTCTACTCACTTCAACGAAGCAGCTATCAGGGCTTTCTCGATAGGCGGAGGCTATGCTCGCTTGGACCGCCTGGATCCACGCTTGGCGCAGCTTCTCTGAATCGGCTTGTAACATGCAGCTCCTGCAGCGGGAAAACAGAACAGCTGCTTACCAGGAGGAACAGAATCCCTTTTTACATGAGAAGATATTCATTTGCTTGTTATTTATTGATTACTTCCGCTTGGCCCAGCAGCAGCAAATTTGGAGGCGAACTCGGTCACTTTAGTTAACCCAGCAGTTCTTGATGATGGTTAATGCCCACGTCCTGCCCCTCCAAAACTGGGATTTGGAGCAGTGTGTGAAGTTATCCTATTATGGCTCGGTCAACAAGTCGTGGCTGAACAAATCATGACCTCTTGTAACAAGCCAAGCCAGATAGAATACGGGAGAAGTCACTGGATTTTAAAGGCATCCTTCTAACCAATTGCCAGTCATGTTGAGTCCTGATGGAATTAACATAGGTAGAGGAACCTCAGGGCTTTTTATAAGTCAGAGACAAGGGTTTCTTGTTTAGATGTTGTGAAGCAGAAAAAGCAGATGTATGTATCATGGATGGATGGATGCATGGATGGATGGATGCATGGATGCATGGATGGATGGACGGACAAGAAAGCAGACATTCTTCTTCTCTCTCGTAGCCCCAGATGTCTGACTTGGCTACTTGACCTTTCATCCAATCTAGAGCTGGGCCAAGTAATTCATTCTCCCCCCAAAATTCTGACCACGTGTCTCACAAAACCTGCTGCCTATAACTTCCCTGCTTAATCTCCATCTCCCCTTCCCTTCCCCGTCTTTCGCCTCTTTTCAAGACTGCGGTTGACGTGATGACCCAAATGAGACATGGATATATATATATATTTTCTCTTCTCAGGAACACATTACTTACTTGGTGGGGGAGACCACTTCAAAACAAAACCTCCGTTCTATGTCCTCGCAAGGCTTGACTGTGCAAAGCCGGAGGTCTTCCACAACGACCGTGAGTACATCCTGGAAAGGGAAGGACAAAACATCCGCGTCAGACTCCCTGCAACTGGATTTCCTATTGGTAAAGACAGTAGTAGACACTGAAATGGTGTCTATTTTTGTGATGGCTTCTGTTGGAGTCAAAACGTGGGATGCACGCATGCTCCCCATCTATTCCCCTCCTAGATACAATAGAGTTTTTAAGTCTTGTGCACCAAACAGGTCACTTAAAGTAAGGGACTAACCTTTAGCTTCTTCTGATAGACCAGCTGGCTATTTTGTATGGAGAACCATCTCCTGCAAAGAGAAACAAGTAGCGAGGAGGAGGAGAAATGAATGAAGAACAAAAACAGCTTGGAAGAGGACGGTGAGCATCGTCCCGCCTTTCAGAATAAATATAGACTTGGAATAGATTCTGAAAAGGACAACTAAAAAGCTTTCAGAGGCAGCTGCAGTAGAGTATTGGCTTCGACAAACAGTTGTCACATCAATTTAACACGGCCTTCCACAACCTAGTGTCCTGATGTAACGGTAGGTGGAGGACAGAAGAACCACAGACTAGACAATAATCAGATGAGCCAGCAGAAAGAACGGGGTATGGTAAATATCTCAGAAGAGACCTAGTTTCTTTAACTGTAAAGGTGATGGGGGGAAAGATATACTTTCAGATTTGCAAAGTTCTGTTAATATACCCTTACAATAACGTTAGAGCTAGTACTTCTGGTTTTGCTTCCTATCTGGACTATCTCATAAGGTTGACACCTGTACAAGTGATGAGGTGGCAATTTCTAAAACTCCCAGCGGCCATCTGAGGGGAAGTAGGGTGGAGAAGAGTGACCTTCAGTATGGGTGGGCAGAGAAGTGAAATGGACTCGTTCATAACAAGGGGGGTGATTTGAACTTGGTTCTTCCCGTCCCTGGTTCTAAACATCCCAACCGCCCACAATGCACCCGTTTCACGGCCTCTTCCCAATGGCTCACCGATTCCAGGTCTTGAAGGCATTGCTTGCTCTCTTGAAGAGGTATCCTTCCATCACTACTCCGTTGGGAGCATCCACGTTGAATTCCACCTTGGATTCATCGTAAGAGAAATCCTGAAGGCCAAAAAAGCCACAAGGAGGAGGGGAAAACACAAGAGGCAAGGTTGGGATTGCTTTGCTTGACTGATAACAACAAAGCGATCCTAAATGTCTTTATGCTAAGAAGGTCGTCTTGATTTGAGCAAGTAAGTAGGATCGTAGCCACAATCTGGAGGAACGTTCACCCAGCCCATGAAGGAAGCAGGCTGCAATCCTTTGGCCGTGTTCATCCATTATGCTAAGCCATTCCTGGGTTTGTTTGGTTTTGGATTAGTGAGGAAACTGGAAACCCAACCACAACTGCTGAGAACCAAGGGCCAGATGGGGGAAAAAAAATGCAAAAATGGTAGCCATGGTCCTACAATAAGTCTAACACAATTGAACAATGGCGGCGGAGGAAAAAAAAAACACCAGGAAAATCGCAGCCTCACTCGTTTTGCAAAAAGTATTCAGCGTGACTCTCTATCACGATGCATTTTTACAAAACGGCTCGGATGCCCCTTCCCTTAAAAAATAAAATAAAATGTTGATCTAATTACATGTGGGTTTGTTTCAATAAATCCTAGCGAAGCCACGAGCCGTCCAGATGTGCAAATTGGAAAGCCAGCGGAGGGCTTCTCGGTTCCTTCTAAGCCACACTGTGGCTTGTCTGGCTTGGTTTATTTTTATTTGACATGCAAGATGTCTGTCCTACTTTCCCCCCCCTCAAAACAGTGCCTGAAAAAGCAAACCATCTATAAATAAATCGAGAACAAGCAAATATCTATGTATGTTTAGGGTCGACGTGTTGAGTGAATCCAGCCACCCCAGATTTGAAAACCGCAACGTATGGCCTTGCCTCGTGTGGGTAGCCAACCAAATGTGATTTATTTGAGAAACAATAATGGCAATATGGAAACCCTGCTCAGTTGTATGCTGTTGAAAACACAGATCTCTTTCTTGGGTGTACGATTCCGCCCCCCTCTCATTCTGGGAACCCCAGTCTGGCATGTTTGCAAGCCTGCATCTCAAAGCCTTAGTCCTCCAAATTAAATCTTCCTTTACCAGGAAGTCCTCAACTTACAACCACCACTTTCTGCGGCTAAGCGAGACAGTTGTTAAGTAAGCTTTGCTCCATTTTACGACCTCTCTTCCCACAGTTAAGTTAGTCACACGGCTGTTAAGTGAATCTGGCTTCGCCGTTTGCACGTCGGGAGGCCGCAAAACGGGATCCCCACTGCGACCATCGTTAACTGTGAACCAGGTGCCAAGCATCTGAATTTTGATCACGTGACCACGCAGGACGCTGCAGTGGTTGCCAGCGTGTAAAACGGTTACAAGTCGCTTTTTTCAGTGCCACTGTAACACTTCAAAGGGTCACTAAATGAACTGTCATACGTCGAGGACTTCGCTCCTGGTTGCCATCCGTTCTTGCCTCCTTTCTGTTGCAGGTTTCCTTCTCTTCCTTCGAGATGTTTGTTTGTTTGTTTATTGAATTTATTTGCCACCCGTTTCATAACAAAAAGAGAATAAAAACGGAGGCCAAAGCGATAGAAAGTTGCGAGGCAAGGCGAGAACCATTAGCTTGAAAGCTTTTTGCTCACTGGGAGCAGCACGGCCTCCGGCACGCACAGTTGCTAGGCAACAAACCATCCTCTCTTCTTAGGATGAGTGCATCACACACGCACACACACACACACATATGCACGCACACCCCCGCAAACCATAAAGCTGGCTCGCTCCGGCTCACGTCACATTAAAGAGAATAAAAGCAATATGACCAGTGCCCCTATAATGCTGGCGAGGGACATTTTGGCCAAGCCCTGACTTCTCTGGAATCGGTCTCCCCATGCGCATGGAAAATGACTGCTTTGCCCTGGCTGCAGCCATTTAGAAGACAAAACAAAACAAAACAAAACCCAAAACATTTAAAACTGAGTTTTCATTTCTCAGCAGCCGATCCAAGTTTAGCGTTTCTGATTTGAATGTTCGGCAAACAAACAAACAGATAAATAAATAAGTAAACTCAGCCTTTGAGTTCCTTTTCCAAAGCACCAAAAGGCGAGACAAGAAACAACGGATGGAAACTAACCAAGGAGAGAAGCAATCTAGGACTAAGGAGACATTTCCTGACGGTGAGGCCAATCACCCAGTGGAATAGCTTGCCTTCAGAAGGGGTGGAGGCTGTTTCCATCACTGAAGGCTGTTAAAAAGAGACTGGATAGCCCTTTGTCTGAAATGGTACTAAAGGATCTCCTGTTCAAACAAGGAGATTGGGACTGTGAGTCTTCCCAGGTCCTTTCCAGTCCTATTCTGTTCTAAGGATTGTTAACTTGAATGATCACAGCTTGTCAATGACACTTATATTCTTCTTTGCAGTTATCTCCAATATTTGGAATTTATCAAGGTATCAACAAATACAGGTTTGGTGGGAGAAGACGACTTATAGGTAAAATTAATATTTGAAGGACAAATCCGTATTTCATTTGCAACAGTGTACTGCTAAGAGTAGTCTTGGTCCAATTTTCCTTCCTTCCTTCCTTCCTTCCTTCCTTCCTTCCTTCCTTCCTTCCTTCCTTCCTTCCTTCCTTCCTTCCCTCCCTCCTTCCTTCTTTCCTTCCTTCCTTCCTTCCTCCCTCCCTCTTCCCCTTTGAAATCTTACATTATATAGGGCCTATTTATAATTCCTGATTTAATATTTTATGTGAGTGTTTTCATACAGTAGAAACGTTAATTGCTCGCTCCATTATGCCATTCTTCTTTTTTTCTCTGGCTTCCATAAAGGCACCGAGAAAAATAAGGAAAGAAATGCTGCAGGCACTGAGATATGCCCCACGTCGTTCAGCCTTGATGACGCTGATGCAGAGTGACAGCGAGAGAGCCCCGTCGGTCCCAGATTTTGCACAGCCTGCGAGAGCCTCACGCACAGTGACAGCCTGAGCCCATCGGTGGCTGCTGCCATGCACACAACTTGCAGGTAGAGCGATACAGCGTAACCGAGCTTTTTCTGAAAATTTATCCTTTTACTTAAAAAGCCATCGGCTGCTTTTGTGAATTTTAGACCCCGGACAAAATCCCTTTTCTAACTCTAATTTGAACCAAATTGCAAATCAAACCCAGTTTGATTCAGAGGTTAAAAACACACCGGCCCATCTTTACAAAGTGTCCAAATTGATTTAAAGGGCTCTCTTTGATTCAACCTTGTTTTGTTTTGTTTTTTTAAATCACTGGAACTGACACATAGGCTACTTCCTTCGTTTCCCCACTTGACTGGCAAACATATACATCAAAGCAATTTTCTAGAGCACCAGAGGGGGCTTCCAATCCTGCCCCCCCCCATCCCACAAATGCAACCTACAAGTAATAAATTAATTATCAGCCGCACCACTGAATAGGATGGAGAAAGTAGCCACATGGTCTGGGCAGAAAATCTCTGCCTCAACTTGACCCACTGGCGACCAAGAGACCTAACAAGGGCTAAAGTTGTGGCTTACCCCTCCTTGTAAGAAAAGTCTGTGTTTTTCCCACACACCCACAAACTGTTTTATTACTCAGGCAAGCAAGGAATGTAAAACTATTTTGAGGAGATGAAAAGAAAAAAACCAAGCTTGATCTGTCAGGAAGACAGGGACTGTCCACTGCAAAAATGGAAAGGCAAGATCAACCACAACAGGTGCAGAGTACTCTGGCCATAAAACTGCACCCTCGAGAATTATGTTAAGAGCTTCTTTTGTGAGTCCTTTTTTCCTACTATGTCATTAGGTCACAGGCACTATGTATCCCATTCCCCGGACTCAGCCATTTCCAGTGCCTTTCCTTTCCTGTTTGATTTGAATTTATATAACAGTCTTGCATAGAGAAGGATTTCCCCCCCCCAACAATATTGGACAATTGTTTCTATGGAAACATCAGATGCCACCACAAAGAGATAGCAAATTCTAAGAGAGCGATCAGAGGATGGAGATGATGCAAAATTTAAGGAGAGAGGAACAGGAGGAAAATCAGAGAACTGTTTTCCCCTCAAGCAATTGCATGGAAACACATGATTTTTTTTCCTACAATTTTTTCCCCCTCTGGTTCCTCCCTCCACCCTGCTAGAGTTTCAGCCCTTTATTCCAATTTCACTCTCAAGGAGAGGATCTATATTGGTCAAAGATAAAGGAGAGAATAAAACCAAACAAAAGCATAGATTTCTGGCAATGGAGAAATTATTGTCTGATTCGTTCGTTTTCTGCGTTAGGATTGCAAAGAAGGGATTTGGAGACAGCACAGGACTCAGTGGGCTTCCCCACCAGCCGTATCCTGGAAAAAGAGGAATTAGCATTCGTTTTTATTCTTGAAATAAAGTCATCTCTGGCACCCGTGAGGTGATCAAGACAATATAAGCCAAACGTCTAAGGAGATTCTCAATCGTACAGATCACGGTTGTCCCAAAGTTGCTTTTTTGCAAAAGGCAGTTGGGCTTTCTGCTTTTTTCTGTTGCCTTTTTTTCTTGAAAAATTCCCCGCCAGTCACTTAGAACTGAAGAAATTTCTTGGATGAGAAGTGAAACATTTCCAAAGAAAAACAAACAAACAAGAAAGTCCAGTTGCCTTTTGGAAAAAAGCACTTTTGGGATAATATGAGCCAAAGCTCCCCCTCACTCACTCACTCACTCCCCCACATCGTAGCTGTTCAGCCACCCGATCTTAGAGGCAGCAACAAGGACATAATACGCCATCCTTTTGTTTCTCTCCTCCTGACTTCCCCTGCTGGGATCAGAGGCAGACCAGCTACCATCCAACATGGGGAAATGAGAAGAACTGGAGAGGCTCAGGGCCCCAGCGAGCAAAGCTGGCTTTCAGAAGAAACCGTGGTTTGGTGGGACTAGGTCTCCGTTGCTGGGCCAGCTCAGCCCAAGTGTTACAGCATCAACGGTTGAGAAAGGGAGTCCTTTCTGCTCTCGCTCCCTCAACCAGAGGGACCTCAGCAAGGACCCACATCTGCTTTCTCACGTGCTCAAGGTGTGCTTTCCAAGCCCCCAAACCGTGCCATCAATTTATAAAGAGAAGGGGGGGTGGACCTAACCAACTCCATCGCATTAATGCCCCTTCTATCGTTTCCAAACCCAGTCTGCTGTTTTGGCACCTCCAGCTGGAGGGGGCCAGTCCTTTCCCAGCCTCCTCCAAGCTCCAAGAGATGCTGCTTCCCCCCCTCCTCCCATTCTGATGGGAAAAAGCCCCCTCCCTACACACACACTCTCTCTTCCCTTACCAGAAAGTACTCCAGTCTTCCAAAAATCTTCATGATGCCCCTGTTGTGCTGCGTGGCTGAGCTCTTCCAAACGTACAAGCAGCCACGCTCCCAACGGGTAATTCTACATGGCATTCCTAACTGAGGAGGGTGTTTTTCTCCTGCTGCCTCCTGTCCACCCACCCTCAACACACATGCTGCGCGCTGAAAATCTTTCCTACGTTGTTTTTATTATTCCCCCCCCCCTCGCTCAGAGACTGGCCCGCTGGGTCCTGTCGGCGCAGGAGACGTGGGAGAGTGAACCCAAGTGCAGAGCTGGCTTGAGGACCACCTGCCCGTCCTTCCCTTGGTCCTCTCCCCCCACCCCCAGGGCCCACGGCTTCCCTTTCAGAATCAATCAGCTTAGTGCATGAGCTCATTTCCATACAGCTGTCGCCTCTGGATGGAAGTGGGCAAAGCAGCAAAGGCAGAGAGAGGGCAGGCAGTGCCTAAACCATTAATATATATATATATATATATATATATATATATATATATATATATATATATATATATATATGTCTTTGGTTGTTCGGGTTTTTTCCCGCGTAAAATTGGAAGTGTCTTGGCGACGTTTCGACGAAGTCCCATTCGTCATCTTCAGGCTGGTGTTTTCAGCTTCGTGCTTCGAGCAGCAAAGCACGAAGCTGAAAACACCAGCCTGAAGATGACGAATGGGACTTCGTCGAAACGTCGCCAAGACACTTCCAATTTTACGCGGGAGAAAACCCGAACAACCAAAGACCTACATACAAACACCCGCGAAAACCTCAGAAAACATATATATATATAACTCTCACCTCCACCACCACCCCCAAAGAACTTTGACCCTGCTAGAGATGTGGATGAACTCCTAAGATTGTCCACTTCCTACCGAGGTTCCTCACTAAGACCCCAGCCTCTACTCAGCTCCTCTGCACAGTCCCTCCCGCAGCCATGGGTCCGTCCAAATTTACTCCTGCCCAGTCGCAGGGCCACATGGCCGGCTGGTTTTATTGATTCTCTCTCTCCCCCCCCCCCCAGGCCTCCTCTTTTAAATCCATGGGGCAGGCCCAGTCTTGGTATCCTCACTTTCCTTTTCTTTCCTTTTCTCTCTCTTGTGCTTTCACATGCCAGGCAGGTCTCCAACTCCCCTGAATTTGTGTGTATGTGTGTGTGTGATTCTGCTCGCATCCAAGTGCACCTCTCCTTAAGCAATTTGCCACTGTTTGGGAATGGGGGAGGAGGGGGGGGAAATGCACAGGATCTCCTGCTACTCAGTGTTGGGATTTGGTAATGGCTGACCACGTTGCACCTTATTCATGCAGCTATATCAAGAGCTCTGCCGGATCAATAAATGGGTAGTGTGAGCTCCAACAGCTCAATACAGCCTCAACATTCAGAGGCAGTCTACACCAGGCGCTACCTGGTAGACAGACATAAGGCATCACAAATCCTTCCAATTGTCATACTCCCGCCTTTCTTCCTAATTGTTACCATACCAGAAGTTATGACTTTAACTTGATAATCATTTATTTATGTGTCACATCCTGCCCTCCCTCAGGTCAAGGCAGGTTACCTAGCAATTTATCCCCATCACAAGCCTGTGAGATTGGCTAGGTGGAGGTGTCCTCCACCCAATCACCCAGCCTGCTGACTAAATTTATCCACGTTCTGAGCTTACAAAACACGCTAAAACCATAAACAAGACCACACAATGCTAACCAATACCAACCACTACTACTGCGGTAACTCCGCGATGCAAATGCCACTGCATTTTCTTTCGTTTAATGAACTTCCACCACTAAGGTGGGCACTGCTGTTCATCCAGAAACAATAAACTAAACCAGCATCTGACTGAAGACGGAACAGAGCTAATATCAGGCATTTCGATCATCTGAAATAGGTCCTACAAACCAAACAAACAGAGAACACTTAACCTGGTACTCACCTGTAAAAGAGTCTGGATGGACATTGAAGAGGAGCGAGGGGAAAAAAAAAGGAAATAAACAGTGTTATTAGAATCTGCACATCTGTGGAAACCTCAAGGATGCAAAGGTGAATATTGAGGTAGCCAACCTTGGCAACTGTAAGGCTCGTAGACTTCAACTCCCAGAATTCCTCAGTCAGCACGGCTGGCTGGGCAGTTGAAGTCCACAAGTCTTAAAAGTTGCCAAGATTGGACACCCCCGATTTAGACTACGACAAGACCCCACAAATTAGGAAAGTCAGAAGTAATGGGCAGTAATGCAGCATCTCTCTCCATATAAGTATAAAATGCACAACAAGCCATTGTTTGGCCAAATGTCTTTCTTCACCAGTGCCATTTTGCATGGTGAGATTTCAGTTCTGAAACCACAGATTAGCCATGGTCTACTTTTTTTCCCCCTCATCTCTGCACGCACCACCTTCCCTGATATGATAACATTAATACTGGAGACAGACAAGCTGATTCTTCCTCTCCTCCTCTCTCTGATCTTGGGTCCAGGAAACAATTTAGTGCCACCGTCTGACGTGGCCCTACGGCAAGACCCAACGCGGTGGGCCAAGACTCCAGTTCTTGATTATCTGCTGGCTGACAAAGCAGGCTGGGCCAGGAGAAGAGAGGAAGAAGCCCCACTGGACAGATGTGTGAGGAGAAGGTAAGAGAAAACTTTTGTTTCTTCATCGTTGGTGGGAATCTGTTGGCAACACACTCATTTTCCTTCCAAGCTAAAGGAGTGGTACAGAGCCTTCATATATAATTCCCAAATCCAGTGGGATTTATTCTCAAGTCCTCAGATAGTTCTGTACTGCAAGTATACAGCAGAGATATTTTTGTCAGGGCGGTGGATCTTGCATGAAAACTTCAAATTTCATTTTTTTTTTTAAGAAGAGCTTTAGAATTTAACCCTTCTGCTTAATTATATCATAATTACTGGCTCAGTAATTCTGGGATTTGAAGTCCACAGGATGTAAAGTCGCCGTTGTTGCCCAACCCTGCCTACATTTTTTAATCTTTTATGGACAGGTAGATCAATGGAGAATATAGATTCTGACTTAACCTGACCCATTCTTATACATTGTGATGACAAAGAAAATTCATTTTTCCCTGGTGCAGTGTCTGAAAGAGGATTCTAATCCAGAGAGAACTTCTAGTCCAGGAAAGCAAACACCTTCTCATACACAAGCCTGATCCAATTTATCTAACCAGATGCCTGGATCTGAGAAGAGAGGAGCAACATTTTCACAGCATGCTTGGCTGCATTTCTTTGAGGCACCAGGCTGATTATTTCTGAAAGCAGGATGCTGCATCTCCGCTTGTGTGACTTCTGGATTCGGACTCACCCGTTGCTGAATAAGGGCGTGTTTATGCTCCATTTCCCTCTTCTCCACAGCCGAGTCGATCACCAACTGGTCCAGCTTCAAGGGTGAGTGGGAAGAAACGTAAGGCAGAGGAGACAGACTTATTTTCTGCTCTCTCGATTTCTCTCTCTTGGGCCAAGCAGAACTATCTTTTCCCCAGTGACCAATGAGACCCCATGGTGGGCAGGACTAAAAGTCACATAGGTAGGGGTAGCCCAAAGCATACCCTCTCTTCTCTCCCCCCCCATGCAGTAGAGTGTAGGGAAAGAAGAAAGAAAGAAAGAAAGAAAGAAAGAAAGAAAGAAAGAAAGAAAGAAAGAAAGAAAGAAAGAAAGAGTAAAGAACGAGAGAAAGAAAAGAAAAAAGGAAAGAAAGGAAGAAAGAAAGGAAGAAAGAAGAACGAGAGAAAGGAAAGAAAAAAATAAAAAGAAAGAAAAGAACGAGAGAAAGAAAAGAAAAAAGGAAAGAAAGGAAGAAAGAAGAACGAGAGAAAGAAAAGAAAGAAAGAGAGAAAGAAAGAAAAGAACGAGGGAAAGGAAGGAAAGAAAGAAAGAAAAAGAAAGGAAGGAAGGAAGGAAGGAAGGAAGGAAGGAAGGAAGGAAGGAAGGAAGGAAGGAAGGAAGGAAGGGAGAGAGAAAAGAGGATTTCAAACCAATATCTGGAAAATAGGCCAAGGGCCACAAGTTGCCCACTTTATTTTAGGCACAGCTGCATCCCAAACCATCCATCTGTCAGAAAGTTTAGAAGAGATTCTAGTCCTCATAGTTCAGAGCAAAGAGATGATTTGAAGAAAAACCAACCAACTTAACACTGACTGGATTTTTTTTTCCCCTAAGCCTACTAAAAGATGCTTCCATTTAATTAAACTACGGGATGTCAGGAGGCAAGTTAAGTGCACGCCAACTAGCTTAGCTGCCCTTTGGATGACCCCCCAAAGACCCCAACAGCAATCCAGCAATGGTATGGGCAGCTGCCACAGAAAAACTACCAGCTGAAGACCAGGCCAGCCTTACTTTCTTGGCGTCTTCTCTTGAACTCAGGTGAGGAACATGAGTCGGTCTCATGAGGAAGGTCCAGAGCTGAAGGCCTCAAGCTCAACAGCCAGTGGACAAAGGGCGAAGCCTTGAAATTTTACGAGTCTCCTAAAGTTCTTTCCTTCCACAACTCTCTTTTGGCCTTTGTTCCCTTCTCCCAGCTTTGACACACACTTTTATTCCTCCCCATCTCGTTTCCCTGGCTTTGGTTTTCTACAATCAATCTCTCTCTCTCTCTCTCTCTCTCACACACACACACACACATACACACACACGAAAGACTCAACTGCTTCCCCACCTCAGTGGCTAGTTTCTTCATGTAAGGATCCAATTCGTGCAGGAGGCTGTAACCTTGCTGGAAAAAGGTGTATTGGGCGTGCATAAAGGAAAGCATCTGCAAGGAAGACAGGAAGTCCGTTTACGACCCACTCCTAGGGGGCCCGTGGCCCTTTGGGGCACTTCTGTGTATCTGAGGCCTTCTCCGAAAAGGGAAGAAACGTAAATGCCTCTTCCAAGATGGATCCAGAGAGGCACTCCCTTCTCTGCCCGAGGGGGGAAAGGGAGATCTCGCTCTTAAAATGAGGCTGGGAGAAGTTTTCCCTCCAGGACACGGAGGAGGTCCTCTTCTCGGAGAAGACAACCCAAACCATTCTCTCCTCCATGTGTGGGAGAGGCTTAATCTGGTTTACAGCATCCCCCCTGATAAACTCTTCATCATCATTTGTAGGTTAGTTGCGGGGCGGGGGAGCAAGCAGGATGAACTTAATAACATTCTTACGGCATCCAGAATTTCAAATTTCTTCTTGGCCTGGAGAACGTTGATCTATAATGAAACAAAAATGGGTGAGACTAAATTTCGCGAAGGGCCAACAAATCTGAAATAAACCAGAGGGATCACTATAAATTAAAATTTTTAATACCAATCTGTAAAAAAAATAAGTATCAGCTCAACATTTTTGCTGTACGGTCTTGGATGCTCTTGATAGACGGAACTGGATGAGCCAAAGACGGCAGAATCTACACAAACATTTTGTTGCCCTGTTTGGCTTTGCAGAAATGTGAAGAAGGTATGTGGGGGGCTAAAAACAGTCCAGTAACAATGTTCAGAGCACAGTCCTGAACAAATTTTCACCACAAGTCCCAAAGTGTTACTTTCTTGTTAGATCCCCTTGAATTCAAGTGACTGATTCCATTTGGAAAATCCATCCAGGTTGACCACGGAAGCTGATTTGGCGGAAGAAGTAAACCAGAAGATGTGGGAGGTCATCTACCTGGGACCCTTGAAGTAAGCAATTCATAATAGATGGGCAGATCTATCAACATCTATTAAACAGGAGCACAGGCAGTACAGTCTCCTGGTTAAAAAGGCAGTTGACAGCTAAGTAACAAGCATTAAAGAAGAGCAGGGCATAATTTTAATGGTTTGATTCTACTCTGGCTGCCTTTAAAAATGGGAAAGGGAACCCAGGCTGTTAGAATACAACTCCCCTCAGCCACTGCCAGCATGGCCAATATCTGGAATGATGGTAATTGTAGTAGTGGAACCTTTTCTGGCAGGCTACTAAGCTAAAATGGACTGTTCAACCAGGCTTTTAAAAAAAAATGTTTCCAGGAGCTAAAACAGCTGTCCCGTTTTGGTCAGCAGCAGGTTATCTGAGGCAGAGAAGGGTTCCAGGTTCCTGGTTTCTTTGCTTCCCAGTGTTTTCCCCAAAACCAGTTGCTACTCATTCCTACAAATCCACAGGATATGACTCCATATGCTGTCCCAGGATGAGACAGAAGGGGTTGGCAGATGGCTCCATTTTACAAGGGGGAGAGCGGAAAAGGGAGGGCAGCGAAGCAGCTTGGATCAATATTAGCCTGGAATCTGGGGTGGGGTGAAGTAGGAAGTCAGGAAAAGACAGTCCAGAAACCGTTTCAAATATGACAACATATCCAGATCCACATAAGAGGAAGCTGGGTAAGGAAGTAAAACGATCATATTAAGCCCGATTCAGCCCAATTTATAGCAAAAAATGTGGGTCAGGAACTGTTTCCTATTTCCTGTCTCTTGCTCAACGGAGTGGAGTTTTCCAACCTGGGACTTCCCCCCCCCCACAAAAAGATGGGCCTCTTTTCAAAACACCATGTTTTTCAAAAAGCAACGCTCAAGCTAATGCCAAAGCAGGCCAAAAGTGGGTCCAAAGAATGAAAACTCAAGGGGAGAACAAAACAGTCCGTCTTTAAAGGAACGTTTCTGCCTAATTCCACGAAGCCACCTTTAAAACTCACCTGCAAGACGTAATCCAGGGCCAAGTGCCGGAAGCATTTCCTGGTGATTGTCAACGTGCCCGTGGCCTCTTCTACTTCGTGGGGCTTGTGCCGTGGGGCTTGGGCATTCTTGACCAAGGCGATCTCCATGTCTTCTCGAACTTTATCGAACTGTTTTTTGGTCTCCTTGAACTTGCGGACATCCCTGCAAAGCAAAGCAAGGTGGTGGCCATTAAGCTTTCTCGACTTCAGCAGCCCACTCAACATCAAAAATGGCCAGGACCAGATACTCACTCCTTCACAAAGTTGTTCAACTGTTGCCGGACAGACCTCTGAGCTTGGTCGAAAAGGATCTAAAGAGAGAGAGGAAAGAGCAAGCAGAGAAGGGGGAAAAAAGCAAGTAAGGCCATCAAAAAGCATTTTATTCTGGATTGTTCCAGCAATCCACTGGTTTTTAAATGGAGGACTGTTAACATAAGCCATCGGAGGAGCCCCAAGTAGGACAATCAATAGCAGTGGCCCATTGTTTTTTTCCCCCCCACAGCATTACTTAGAGATAGACTACTACTACTACTTTGGCCACCTAATGAGAAGGAAGGACTCACTGGAGAAGGGCCTAATGCTGGGAAAGATGGAGGGCAATAGAGGAAGGGGACAACAGAGAATGAGGTGGCTGGATGGAGTCCCTGAAGCAGTAGGCGTGAACTTAAATGGACTCCAGAAGATGGTAGAGGACAGGAAGACCTGGAGGAACGTTGTCCATGGGGTCGCGATGGGTCAGACACGACTTCACAATTAACAACAACAACAACAACAACAAAGACTACTTCTAAGCCTGGAAATTCCAGATCTAATTGTCCTCATTCTATTTTCCACAAGAGAATGCCCATAGATTAATCGTCCAAAGAAGGGGTGCCTTTTGTCCACTGCAAAATATACGACACCCTGCCCTACTGAACTACAATTTTTTATTTATATGTCTACTTATAAAAAGGATACGCTGCTGTTCTGTCTGGAAGGCAGCCAAACCAGCTAATAAACCAACAACCAGCAGTTAAAATACCATTTTTTAAAAAAACAGCTTTAAAAACAAAAATCAATCAAGAAATTGAAGGGGATAAACAAAACCAGATGCATTCCCCACCTTTTCCTATAGGGGGCACCCTCACTCCAGAGGCTAATATCTTTGCTGGCCCCAGTATGACAATTTAGGACTAAGCAGCTGTTTCTAATTTGTCCAAATCTGCGATGACTATGTATTAATACCTTTTCATTTCTTTTCCTTATTCAACCATCAAACCTTTTCTCAACATCTTAAATGTTTCTCGGCAACTTCAATTTAACCCGTCCTGTCTTCTCTGGCTTTTTATATTAATATAATGCTGCTTTCTTTTTTTCTTTTTAAAGCCTTACTTTTATAAGAAGGTGGGAATAATTCTCCAGTTTCAAATTCCAGCCAGCCTCCAGCCCCCACGTTAGGTTTCTGGCTCCTGTCATTTTTCTGGCAACGGGATAGAAGCAGTATCCCCTTGCCTTGTTCCAAGCTCTTTCTTGGGGAGTTCATATTGGCTTTTCCTCCAAAAACTGAACATGGTCCTACTTTTTCGAGGCTAACTTGGCCACAGAGCTAGTACCCAGACCAAGCTGGGTCTGTGGGTTTTCTTCAGAAAAGAAGGAAAAATGTCCTCTTTCTCCTCCCACAAATTCTTTTGAGGTTTGAAAACTCCAGTATCCCCTGGGTACATGCACACACTTTCCTCCTCTGTGCCCCAAAGCTCTGGCATTCACATCCTCCACACTTGAAATAACACAAAATGTTTTGTTTATTCAAGTATGGTTTTCCTGCGAGATGATTTGGGAAATCCTTCAAAAGGCAGCCTTTTTGCGAGCAGAGGCCCGAAGCACCCATCGTCCTGCTGGCAAAGGGGTACGCAAGCAATTACCCGCCCTTGAAGTCTTTGGCCAAGGGGAATATAGCCCAAGAGGCAAGCTGGTGTAGGAGCTTGAAAAATGGTCCTGAGTGGGTTTTAAACGCAAACAGATGCAAGCATTTAGGAAGTCTGAAAGACCACCCAGCTCGCCTTCGCTTGCCTTTTGCCATTTTTGCCCTGGTGATGCGGGTGAAAATCAGACACAAAGGACATGCCCAAAGATTCCAACTGCACAGGGATGCGTAACACAATTGCAAGGTAGTGCGTAGCAACCCTAAAGGGGAACGTTCATTTTCACCTCCAGGGAAACGAAAAATTCTGGCCAAGGTATGTTTGCTGAGGATTCTCCATTCTGAGATTCAGACTGAGATTAAGCAAACTGAGAATCTGCAGGCCTGCATTTCTGTCCGATCCACCTATAGCCACATCTAGACCCATCGCTCCCATTTTGGCTGCTGAAGATGACAAACAGGAGATGGCAGTAGACTGAAGACGTTGCGAAAGAGCAGAATGTTGTTGTTTACGGGTCCCGATTTCAACAAATCCATCAGCTTCACTCAGCCAAATGGGAGGGTTGGCACCGGGCAAAAGTCTCCATTGCTTCCACACACTAATTTCCAATCTTTTCTTCTTACTCAGAATTGGCTTCTTCTCCCGAAGTCCACTAAATCACGGGCACACCATTTTTGAGGGGTTTAATGATCTGATTTAATTTAATTGAAACACAGATGTAGGATGACCAGGCTGAGCCTGAGGGAGGGGTCAAATGCATCATCAGTCATGAGTTCCTGCACGCCCACAAGGCAACTAACCCCAGCCCACCTTGAATCCCTTCCTATTCTTAATTCCCACTCAATTTCCCTTAACTGTTAGTAATTCAGTAGATTCTTGTAGAGAGCTTAAGCGTGCAATAAATATTTATACCCATTTGAATTGCCCAAATCTTCTCACAACAAATGACAACAATTCAAGAAAACAATGACTTGGAAAAAGTTCACAAGTGGAACAACTAGGAAAAACTGACAACATTTTCCTACTTAATATTAGAATGCCACAGTTAACCGAGACTTCTTAATTAACCTGTGGAACTCTCCATCCCACAGTTAAACGATGGTGTCCAGGTTAGATGATTTAAACTAGCAAGCAGGGTAAAGATGTTCAACTCAGTTCTGGAACAGCACAAGAGTTCACAAAAGTGATTTGCGAAAAATTATGGGATTTTTTAAAAATCCTACTTCCCATCCATCACACAAGATAAAAGTCACAGAAACAGCTATTTGAAAGATCAGCTTTCAAACTTTGATAAGATCACCTAGAGATAATTTGCAGAGAGGTGAATATTAATTCCCCCCCCCAAAAGAATTAAATATTTATATTTAAAAAGAACTTGGCTTCACCTTTAAAAAAAACAACAACCCCGATGCTTTTTAAACTTCTCAAGTTGTTTTTTTGGCTTCCCAACTAGGCTTGGAGCTGATTGTATAAAATAGAAGTTTCCAGAAAGTCTGTCTCTTTTGCCCACCCAGCTCCAAAGTAATCACCAAGATTTTAGGATGTGACTCACTCAGCACTGGTCACTTTAGATGGAGATCTTCTTCTCAGATTAAGTCCCGGCTCCAAGACCGGCCCAATCGTAAAGTCAACCTAAGCCAGTCTTGGGGTGCCAAAATTTCAAGATGGCATCACACAATATTTTTCCAGTGAGGGCAGTGAGGGTTAAAGTGGAACCAATTAACTAGAAAGCTTGTCGTTTTATTAAAAAAAAAACAACCCTCTTTATTTTGTACAAGTAATGGTTAATCTTCCATGTTTTTTACATTCTTTTGGGAGTGCGTGTCCCCAGTGTTAGTGATTTCAGCTTCAGAAGAAGCATAAATTAGCTTCCGAGCTGATGTCTCACATAGCATTGCTTCATTGCCTAAGTTGCAACAGTCCCTAAAGCTAAAAATAATCGATCTGTATTCATTAGAAGATTTAGAAGAGGTGTTTCTGGTGTCCTTCTGCTTAAGCCAGAGTTAAACTGATCACAGGTCCTACTTTTTACTGTCTAGACCAGGGGGTGTCCATCCTTTGCAACTTGAAGATTTGTGGACTTCCAATTCCCAGAATTCCCTAGCCAACCATTTCACATTGGCTGGGGAATTCTGGGAGTCGAAGCCCACAAGTCTTAAAGTTGCCAAGGATGGACACCCCTGGTCTAGACTAAACCAGCTTCTTTGTTGCTCTTGGAAAGAGTGCAGAGAACACAATAAAGATGATTAAGGGGCTGGAGGCTAAAACATAGGAAGAACGGTTGCTGGAATTGGGTACGTCTAGTTTAACAAAGAGAAGGACGAGGGGGGATATGATAGCAGTCTTCCAGTATCTCAGGGGCTGCCCCAAAGAAGAGGGAGTCAAGCTATTCCCCAAAGCGCCTGAAGGCAGGACGAGAAGCAACGGATGGAAGCTAACCATGGAGAGAAGCAACCTGGAACTAAGGAGGAATTCCCTGACAGCTAGAACAATTGATCAGTGGAACTGCTTGCCTCCATCAGTGCACTCCCAGCAAGCACCAGAAGAGCAGAAGCCGCACCAAGCTAATCAAATTAAGTGCTTGGAAGCCGAGTCAGCCTACAGACCTCTTAAGAGCATCACCCCCTTGTGGAATTAGTCTGCTCTGAGTGAGCGAGCCACGGGGAGCCGAAAGAATTGTGCCCTGCTCTGATTTCATAGCAAGCGGGCAGATTTCTCCTGCAACGGTTTCCGAGGCTGTAGAGCGAGAAAGGGGGAAAAGGGGATTTGACACTCACAACCCACAGGGGGCAAAGTCCACCTTCCGTGGGGATAGTTACAAGGGGCCTTGCTAGAGAAGCCGTGGAACCCGTGATCTTCAAAGAGGGACCCTGGAACTCAATTCTTTTGCATGGCTGGCCTTCGACCCGGGGCAGGAGGAGACAGAGGCGTCCCCCCCCCCCAGCAAAGAGAGAGAAATCCTAGCTTCCCTTGCACTCACCCAGGCACCCTCAAGTGCCCTGCGGGTGCCGATTCCCCACCCCCCTCGCTGCAGTCTGCTCCTGAATCTCCAGTTGCCATGACAGACTGTTCAGAATTTTCAACTTGAAAGAAGGCAACCGCAGAGCAGGCCTGCAGAAAGGAAAGCCCGGATTGCTTTGCATTTCCTTCCCTTTCGGAATCCAGTCGAGGAAAAGAAGCCCCTTTTTTGCACCTTTCTCTCTCGGTGACAGATTTTACACCGTCCCTTCGCTGCCCCCAGACAGCCTCCAGAGACCGATTTCAATCCATCGACATAAGGGGAGGTGGGGGGGGGGAAACCAAGGCTCCACCCTGCGCAGACCTACTAACCCCCGGGAGCAACATCTTCTCCTTTTTCCCTCCCGAGAGCATCGTAATCCTTCCAGAGTCGTCCACTCCCTCTGTCTGGAGTTCGGCTGCAAACGTAGACTTTTGGCCAGCTCGAGGCTAAGTCAGCAGCTTCTATGGAACCCTCACCAAGCCCTGCCCCGATGAACTAATGGGTGAGTTACACAAATGTACTTTGAGATTCAAAATGCAACACACGTTATGTCATTTGGTCGGGGGGGGGGTTCCAAAGTAGACCTGATTCCCCCCTCCTTCCTTTCTTAAGATGTTAAAAAGCGACGTATCTCTTAATCAGAGGGTGATGTCCCATTACCTCAAGAGGGAGGGGCCTCCTGATATCAAAGAAATGCTAACTTATAAATAAGAATATCACATTTCTAGAGAAGGGGAGAGGAAGAGGAGAGACTGTCCTGGGGAGGGGAAAAAAACCCAACTATTTGGTCATTAAGAGTCCTCGTCTGACTTCAAGACACATAATAATTCAATCAGAGAAGGATATGGAATAGTATTAAAAGGGCTTGGAAATTTATGGGCAAACTTTTAAAGGCGGGACTATAATGTGGGTACATAATATGGGGACATTTCAGTGGCCTGTGTGAGTCTCTCCTTTTTAATTAATCTACTAATTAAAACCTAGTGGGAAGGGAAAAATATCCTAAATGTTTCACCTTTCATTTTCCTTTTTATCTGGGCATGAAAAGAGGCAGAAAAAAAGAGTGCTGGTTATATAGTTTACAGCAGGGATCTTCAAGCTCGGCAACCTTAAGGCCTGGGGACTTCAACTCCCAGAATTCCCCAGCCAGCAGGGGATTCTGGGAGTTGAAGTCCACAGGTCTTAAAATTGTCAAGGTTGGAGACCCTTGGTATATAGAGTACTGACTGGGGTACATAGAAAAACAGCAGAATGTTTGTTACCATTATTTGGGGAGAGGATTTCTTTCCATTTCTCCACCCAAAATATTAGATCACTCTCTTTCCCTCGCCTTTTTCTCACCATACCTAGAATGTGGGTTTACTGGTTTCAATGGATCTGAAAAGGATCCACAGCAAAAAAAAAAAAAAAAAAAGATCAGCCTATTTTCTGACCGTTATCAATTTTATGGGGGTAGAATGGGTCCTTTTAAAACAGCGGTATAAAAATGTATATTTAAAACGCTCAACCTACTGCCCTCACAAGCTGATGAAATTCAAGTGGTTTTTAGACTGTAGGAACATCCCGTTTTCCATAAGATACGAAAAATTCAGCTAGGGACAGTGTTGGCCATCTCAGGTGGGGACATGAAGATCAAAGGGATCTCTTATTACATACCCCTTCCCCAATTATCTGGCTGTTGGCTAGAGAGATACGGGTCTACATCGACCCACTATTATGTTCTGGAACTCCTCATTCAGATGACTTCAAGAACATCCGTTGAACATCTCTGCACAGAAAGCAGCTTGGGAAAAGATGCCACTCACCATGTGATAGTTGACCATTTCCTGCAAACTGTCTCCAAATTTATCCAAGCATTCCTGCAGAAGGCAAAAAAAATAAATAAATACAGGGGGGGCTTAGTTCCATGCATCAGATAGCTACAGAAAGGACCATTATCTGCATTGGAGCATCCCGCCTCTCTTATAGAACTGATGGGTTGTAACTGAGGCTCCTCTATCAGGTGGTAGAACTTATTCTGCTCGAAGGCTTGTTCCATGCAGAGAGTGTTATTTGAGATGAAGCTGCAGCCCCCAAATGTAAATGAGGCACCCCTGGAGGAGTGTCCTAAAGCCCCCCCTCCAAAACTCATCTCCTTCCCGTGCCTGTTTCCCCTCTCCCAAATAATGGATGCTCAATGACCTAGTTCAAGAGCTGCCAGCAGCTTCGCATTCTGCCTTTTTAGAAAACAACACAATTTCTTAAGGCATCCAAAGCCTCAGATATTTTTAGCTACATACGGAATCTGTGGATGTGTGTGTGTGTGGCTTAATTGTGAGTTACAAAAGCCAAGCGTTTCATTTCTGTTTATTCTTTTGCACCCAAAATGCAGGGAGCTAGGAATGTTTGTGTGGGATTTTTTCCTCACCTTTTTTTTTTTTTTGTCGTGGTGGTTGTCGTTTGCTTGCAATTTTCAGGTCTGACTTGGTGCTTTTATTTAGAACATTTTAACATTCATCGCAAGCGTAAGCTTCAATATGCTTATTAAGTCACTGCTGGCCTACTAAGAACATGAATAATATTTTCATTTCTGGCCAGTGGGGGTGTGTTCAAACAATTCCAAATACGATCCAAACATCAAATCTGTTCCTCAGATATAAAATCATATGTTGTTTTCAGATGACACATTTAACCCAGTAGGTGCTTTCACCCACCACCCTAACCTTGGTTGTGCTAACCAGAGTAAAATCTTTAGTAGCTTAGCACACTGTGAACATCCATCTGTTTGCTTCCCCGCGTTGTGCCAACAGAAGAAATGGGTAAATTCATTAAGTGGGTACAGCTATACTATGGAACTCAAAAGTTGAACCCTCCTGCAGTAAATCTATTACCTCTGCTTCTAAGACACCTTTCCTGCTATTAAAGAGCTGAAAGCCTGAGGACCTTGTTCCAAATATTTAATCAAAATCTATCTATCTATCTGTCTATCATCTATCTATCTATCTATCTATCTATCTATCTATCTATCTATCTATCTATCTATCTATCATGTCTGTCTATCTGTCTGTCTATCTGTTTGTCTCTGTCTGTCTATCTGTCTGTCTCTCTGTCTATCATCTATCTATTATCTATCTATCTATCTATCTATCTATCTATCTATCTATCATCTGTCTGTCTGTCTGTCTGTCTATCTCTCTGTCTATCTCTGTCTGTCTATCTATCTATCATTTATCTATCTGTCTGTCTGTCTGTCTATCTGTCTATCTCTGTCTGTCTGTCTATCTGTCTCTCTGTCTATCATCTATCTATTATCTATCTGTCTATCTATCATCTATCTGTCTGTCTGTCTGTCTGTCTATCTATCTGTCTATCTCTGTCTGTCTGTCTGTCTCTCTGTCTATCATCTATCTATTATCTATCTATCTGTCTATCTATCTATCATCTATCTGTCTGTCTGTCTGTCTGTCTGTCTATTGTAATTTCAACCTGCTCTGGAGTAAAAGATAATAACATTATCCCATCTTCTTTCAGACAAGTCAAAACAATAGCGGGAAAATATCTATGGCTATCTAAACATCCATCTTCCATCTGTCATCTTGTGCCTCTTTTTCCATCACCGTATCCCCCAGTAAAGACAAAATAATAGAACTGAATTCCAAATCTTGCAAGATCAGCAAATCCTAGGATCTCTCGGGGCCCTTAACCCCTGTGATTCCACATGAGAAGAATGAAACCATAACCTCACAGGATCTGCGCGTTTTTGTGAACACTTTTGGCCAAAGTTTCTTTAAAAAGGCGCGCACACACACAAACAAACAAAAACCCAACCCAACCCCCCACAATATAATAATGTCTCTGTGTGGTTAAAAAAAATCAGATGCTCGGTCACTTCCAAACACAGTATTGCCAAATTCAAAAGTTGCCTCTGAATGAGATTTAAAAAACAACAACAACCCAGTGAGATCGGGAGGGAAAAAACGGCAAAGCTGTGTTTTCCAAACTTAACACCTTTTGAGTTGTGTGGACTTCAACCCCCAGAATTCCTCAGACAGCGTTCCGTTTGCTCTCTGCTGACGTAGAGTCATAGTCTGTACACCCAGTCTGTGAGAAAGGCAACCTATCATCAAGTCCGCAACGGCAAGTCTGAACTCAATCATGCTGAGCTGACTGAGCCTTTTGTACACCCTCACAATTTCCAAGCTCTCCTTTCTTACCGAGATCATTTCGTCCTTCTTGCACTGCTGGGACAGGTCTCGCACGCCACCGACAAACTGTTTGTTGGTGATGATGTACGCTTTCCCGGCGTCGACCATGTTGCTGCATAGCTTTACCAGCTGAGAAAGGAAAGAAGGAAAGAAGACCACCTGGTGATGACATGCCTTTTTTTTTTTTTTAAGTGTGGGAGCCAGGCCATCTGGCTCCCACATCAATTCAGCAGGAGTAAATTTGGAGAGCCTGCAGCTGAATGGGAGCTGGGATTTATTGCCCGGCCAATGCTTATGTGCCGTGGGCACTCCAGATGTTTGAACTACAATTCCCAGAATCCCTTGTTAAAAGGAAATTGCATTCTAAACCTCTAGTGACTGCCCCTGGAGCACAAGGGATAACTTATACCAGAAATTATGTTCAGTTGTGTCCTAGGTTTGGGGGAAAGGCAGACTGGCAGTTCCACTCTGGAATCTTCCATAAAGTTTGATTTTAGACAAAAAGGCTTGCGAGGGCCAGACAAGAAATAAAATCTGAGTCCAGACCCTTTGCTCGCTCTGCTCCCAGCATCTGGCAAGCCTTCTTTGCACTGTTGCATCTGATTCCAGGGAACAAACGCAAACAGATGCAGCTCCCGGTCACATCTGGCGGCCAGATGGGCAGTAGGGAGGCTCCCGAGTCAGCCTCTGGATGAGCAAGGCAAGCTCGTTCTTGCAACGTGGCAATTTCTGCAGTGCGGTTTTGTTTTGACCAAAAAGCTAAGCAAAGCTGTACGTTATTTGCAACAGGAGCTCTTCTGGGGGGGGGGAAGCCCCGAAATGCAATTAACACGCTCACACTAATTGCAGCACATCCATCTCCCACAATCAAAAACAGAGGTTTGGCAGAGGTGCGCTGTTTGGGGGAGAACCGCGTGTGCCAGCTGCCACACACACAATTTGCACTTAAGCAAATAAGTGTTTCCTGATTGGCCACACCCATCTATTATTATTATTATTATTATTATTATTATTATTACTACTACTACTACTACTACTATGGATCATGGCACAGTCAGCCAGATGTTCAGACTGGATTTGGCATTTTGTCTACCCACCAAGTCCTTACCCAGGACCTGGGATAGGCAGATGTGGATGTTTGATGGTATTACAGATCTCGTCGCAGGATGGAAGCAGTTCCTAGTAAGGCCGCCTTTTGCAATTGACTAATGGCGAACTTATCAATGCCAATGATGGTGTTCAAGTGGTGCTCCAGTTGTTTTGGGATTGCACCCAAGGTGCCTATTACTATTGGTACTACCCTTGCTTGCCTTTGCCACAGTCTTTCTATTTCTATTTGTAGGTCTTTGTATTTTGTGATCTTCTCCAGTTCTTTCTCGTCTATTCTGCTGTCTCCAGGCACTGCCACCTCCACTATCCAGACTTTTTTGATTATTATTATTATTATTATTATATTGCACGCAGCCCAGCCTCAACCTTCCGCCTTCTGCATTTAGGGTGATCCCAACCCCTGGTTCTTCCTGCTGAGATCTTTTTTCCTTCTTACCTTATCAAGCTTGACTTCTATCTCCACCACGTCTGTTTCTACCTCATCTATGGTCGCCCTGCAAAAAAGAAAAAATGGAAATTAAAACGCCAGCTTGCCACCCCACACAGAAGCATCAGTTACGAAGCTAGGAGAAAGCGACACTACTGCGACAGCAGAAAGACAGGATGGGAGCAGAGGAAGGGGAACCCTCTTTGGGCCGAGGTCTAGGCCGCACGACGGCTCGGAGAGTCGCTTGGCAACCACGGTTCAATCAGCTTCATCTCCTTGCTTTCGTCCGTTCAACTTCTGAACCACTTCTCCGTCAGTTTTGGGGCTCATTTTGTAAGCTAGGCTCATGGAGAGATGTTTTGGAGGGAGGGGAAGGAAGAGAGAGAGGGAAGGAAGGAAGGAAGGAAGGAAGGAAGGAAGGAAGGAAGGAAGGAAGGAAGGAAGGAAGGAAGGAGAACAATTCCTTTTCAATGTTCCCTCCCACTTTGTATCTGAATTTCGTTTCACATCGCACTGCACAAATTTCACATGGTCTAACAGCAGAGCTGAACTTCAGCTTTTGCCATGGCTCAGAGGAAGAATTCTATAGCATGTTGTCAAGGCCTGTTTTTCCTCTGTTTTAAAGAAATATAGTCCAGAATAATCTCCAGCACACATTAGCAGGCTACCCTCCCCTCCCCAGCCCCATAGCTATGCGCATACACCGAGGCACTCCAGAGGAAACAATATTAATAAGCCAAGATCTGGGACTTAGAATTTAGTCAATCTGGAAGTACGGGTGAGCCAGAGAGAGAGAGAGAGAGAGAGAGAGAGAGAGAGAGAGAGAGAGAGAGGGAGAGAGAGAGAGAGAGAGAGAGAGAAAATAAATGTTTCTTCTGGAGCTCATTTTGGTGGTAGAACCAGACAATGGTTCCTTTAAACTGTCTCCTGGAAGTGCAATAAACCACGGGGCCAACTTGTCCGTCCACCCACCCACCTACCAGCCTGGCCAAATCCCAGGGGTTTGCAGCTCCTAATTGTGTGGTTTGTGATGCAGAAGAGAAGGGGGGAGGAGGGGGGAGGGAGAGCTTGTGAAATGCCTTGGCTTGCTCTCTTCCAGTATCCTGACAGCACACACGCCCCTTGTTTCCACTCTCCGATCACTTCCTCTTCTCAGCATCCATTCGTCTCGGCAAGCTCCATTTTCCTTCAGAGTGCATTGTCCCTCTGCTGAAGGGGGCAGATCCTTGCCTTCCTTAAACGGAAACGTATCTCGGCTAACCAAGTAAAGAAGACCCTGGTTTCTATCCAAGCCATTTTTCTTGATTCATTTACTCCCACCGGAATTTAAATAGAAATACTATCTGTTGGGTAGTAGTAGAACGGGGAGGACTATTGAGTAGGTGGGCCCTCACCGTGGACGGCTCCCTTCAAGCCCAAGCGCTTGCTTGCTTAGGGTCTGGAATTCAGGGACATAGGAAGATGCTTTACACCAAGCCAAATCACCCGTCCATTTTCCAAGGTAGATGCTTTACACCAAGCCAAATCACCCGTCCACTTTCCCCAATTCTATCTGGAAACTTCAGAGGAGAGCGAAAGGATCTCTTGGGCTGTGTGGTTCAGAGGATGCATCAGAGCAGAAGAAGACCTTCTGTGGTAGGGGAGAGCTATGACAGGGGTGGGCAATTATGGCCCCTTTACGACCTCCCAGAATTCCCGAGCCAGCGTCATTCCTGAGTTAAAGTCCCTACGTCACAAAAGGGCCCTAGTTGCCCACCGCTGGTCTATGGCCACCTTTGTTGAGCCCGTTCCCGGCTCATTTGTGTGGTGGATCCAGAACTTTCATCCCATCCCGCAGAAAATAATTGGACAGGAGTAAACTAGGATCTAGGGACGCCCAGCTTTTTGGTGTTCTCATGCTTGGAAGGTGAAACTGTGTAGGTATCGATCTGGCTGTTTTCTCAACCCAGCAGAGAGAGGAACGTAAGCAAAATCTCCGGATTAGGCAGTTGTTCCATAGAACATTCTGTGTCTCTCTGCTCTACGTCTGTCATCTCTGTTGGTATTCTCCACCTGAGTTCAGGTTTAGAAGAAGCCACCACTTCTCTTTCTCTCTCTCATATGTCACACACACACACACACACACACACACACACACACACACACACAAAGAACAGAAAGACTTCTCAAACACACTTTGCTCCCAATTAGTCCCAAAAGATGCGTTCTACCTCATGCGGAAGAAGGCATTTCCCATCTGATTCAGCTAACACCTTTCCAGCTTTGGATCCTTTTTGGCTCTCCAAGTGAGCCAGGCACTCAAAGATCTGCCTGGCTTCCTACAACCAGGGAGAAATGGGCAGAAGCAGACAGAAAGAGCCTGGCCTTCCGGAAAGGAATCCAGTGGTGATTGGTACACAGAACTATAATCTATAGACCTGACAGTGGCCCAGGGGCAGGAGAACTCCTGTCTGGAAGCTCTCGTGAAGGTGAGTCAGAGAGAGTAATGGCACGCACCTCATGATCGCGGCATCCGCAGGAAGGGGAGAGACACGTGAGTTTGTGTGACCTCTTCTCCAACTCTCACAAGCTTTGGCATGCTGGAAAGATGCCTTTGGTGAGGTTGGAGGAGACTTCCAAGAAAGATTAAGTGAACAGGAACACCAGAGAAAGTGAGCAAGTGCCCAAAGGAAGACGTTTCGAAGGAACCAGGTGCCACCCCTTTGGAGAACATGGCCTGACCGTATTATCAGTCAAAAAGAGCACATGGAATAGGGCCTTCCGGAATCCCAGAACCGGGAAGATCCCTTACTGTGGAGAGAAATTGCTGTCTTGGCAGATTTAGAGGTAGCGACGGAGGTCAAAACAGCCATGCCACCTGAGAGAGCTGGAAATTGGCGGCTGGAAGAAGCTTCTAAACCAGTGGTTCTCAACCTTTTTAATGCCGCGACCCCCAACCGGTCATAAGTCGAGGACTACTCAACTGGTCGTAAGTCGAGGACTACTCAACGGGTGCAGCACCGTTTGCAGAAGGGGACTTTTGGCGGGCTCAGCAGGGCAGAGAGAGCCTGGACAATTCCTATTGGCTTTTGAAAGCCAATAGAATTAGACTCTATTCAAGAGAGTCTATTCTATTGGCTTTCAAACGGCAATAGAATAAAAGGGAGTAGCACAGCTAAGGAAAAGGGGGAAAAAATGGCGGACTGCGTTGTTTGGCGACCCCCGTGAAATGGTCGTTCGGCCCCAAATGAGGTCCCGACCCACAGGTGGAGAACCACTGTTCTAAACGCTTTGCACCCCATCAACCCGAAGTGAGACATTCTCTTTATGTTGAATTCTGTTAAAGACTTCTGGTCCCTTCCCAAGGGATCTGACATGCAACTCAGTACCATTTTAGGCTTCTGAAGGCCGGGACCTTCTAACAGAGTAGATCCAGTTTGCCTCTCCGAGACCAGCCGGAGTTCTTTTCAAACCCAGATTGACTTTGGCACCCTGTTGCACTTCCAAGCCGGATGCCTGCAATTCCTACGTCAGACAGTCTGTCTCTCCCTGACGGCGCAAGGCAGCACCGCTAGATTCCTGCGGCCCACTTGGCAGCGGCCCCGGGAGTCATGACAGGGTGTCAGAACACCCCTCTGAGCAAAAAAAAAAAAAGACACTCACACCCAGACAACTTGGCATCCAGACACTGTAAGCGCCACTTCAAGAAAAATAAGCATCCACAAAAACTATAAGAAACGGGGGAGAAAACGCTTCGAGCCATTAATCACCGATCTGGATTACATAAGACAGGAGGGATCTGGTTTCGTTCAACAACAGGGAACTGGAAGAAGCAAAACAGAGGAAGGAGCCCTGCGGTCCAGGGAGGACAGCTGGCCTTTAGCTCTTGTTTCCCACAAGACCGTCAGAAATACCTGCTCATTTCACAAGGAGAATAAATGAAGATTTCCATCTGCCGGACATTTTTTGCTCTCGGAAGATTTCACACTACGTATAAGTAGTCCTCGAATTGCAACGGTTCATTTAGGGACCATTCAAAGTTACAACAGCGAGGAGAAAAGGGACGTAGGGCTGTTTTTCACACGTACGACCCTTGCACCATCCCCAGGGTCACCGGATCAAAATTCCGACGAGGCAGTTATTCCCTGTCCGCTGGCAGTGAAGAGCCACAATCTGGACCACATTTGATCCATCCTTCTTGAAGCTGGCTCCACAGAGATATATTCTGCATCTGCCTGCTTCTTTTTTAGCCTCCCCCCCCCATATTGTTGGCAAGGCCTGGCCTTTTTCTGAACTACAATCATGAACGTGTTTCTCCTGGGCTGATTCCTTCTCGCTATTTTTATTCTCCTGGCCTGGAAGTCACGTGAGCTCTGCATGGAAATCTTTTCCCTGTCTGTTTGGCTGGGATGCTTCCGTGAAGTGCTGAAGAGAGAAGCACAAATGCCAAGGGGAAGGAGGGAGGGAGAGAGGAAGGAAGGAAGGAAGGAAGGAAGGAAGGAAGGAAGGAAGGAAGGAAGGAAGGAAGGAAGGAAGGAAGGACTTTTTAGAGGAGAAGGAGGAAGAGGACAAGAAAGACAATGCTGGAAAACTAACAATGGCATCATCGCACGATGTTCCTGCCCTTACTTTACCTGCCAATGTTAACATATTTCAAGTCACTCAAGAGAAATCTCTGTTTGGAAGCATTTCATTGGGAATTTGAAGGACTGATTTGGAATACCCCACCACCACCACCACCCAATTTCTTCCCTGCGTTGGCTTCAGCCAAGTTCTTTGGATCCAGGTCTAAAGCTCTCCCCCGGATTTCAGCGATGTCGCAGAACAGAAACACAGCAGCAAACCACAGCCAGATGAAAACCCCCATCAAAAGAAAAATCCCACCGATTCCAAGAGCCAGTCGGTCTGTGGCTGGAAAAGCAGGAGGGCGAGGCTGTGAATTTCCTCTTGGGCTGCCAAGGGTCACATTGTTTCCCCCCCCCCCATCTCACCCACGGGATGGCACGCGCCAAGCACATTAACCCTGGGTAAATTGCTTTATGAGCTCTGCCACGGTGGCATTTTGCCAACAGACCGGTAATGAGTTTG